ATTCAGTGATTTTAACTTTTAATTTAGTTATTTTAATGCTTTAAAGAGCAATTTTAGATTGTAATGTTCTAATGTTCTGCTATCTGTTCTGCAAACTATAAAAGGTACAGCTGTAATAAAACCAGAGAGAAAGGCTGCATGGCTAGAAACTGTAAAAAAAATAAAAAAAGTCAAATAATAGTATGTGAGACAGTGGTAATATCATTGTGTTCCTGTTGGTCAGTAGAGGAGCTTAGCTTAGTCTGACAGTTAGCCTGCTTTAGACCAGATTAGTTTCCCAGCATAAGTTGCCACAGTGACTAAACTTGATCTAGGCCCATGTTAAATTTGCTTTATAGAACCAAATCATTTGACAATGAGTCAGATAATTGAAATAAGCCTGGCTTATTTGGTTAACTTGTTTTATGAAACAGGCCTCGAGGCATTAAAAGTGATCATATTTTGTCCATTGCATCGTATTGCATCGAATCGAAATCGGATCGCACTGCATCGTAACGGGGTGAATCATATCGCACCGCATCGGTAGCTGCTTCATATGTATCTTTAATGTATCGTATCGTTGGCAATACATCGAGATGCGTATCGTATCGGCCTCAGTCATGAGATGCACATCCCTAATTCGTATGAAAGAAGAAAGTCATATACACCCTAGAATGGCTGAGGGTGAGTAAATCATGGGGTAATTTCATTTTTGGCCAAACTATCCCTTTAAGCATTAAAAGTCATGGTCCATTGGAAAGAAATGATTTACCCTGGATTACGACACAACTCGTATGAAATGATTCAGACCATATTATCGCCAAACTGAAAATGCGCTTGCGAAAAAACAGCCCTTGTTTTTACACGCCATGTTACCCATTCGTTTTCAGCCTGGGTTGTTTATAAGAAAGCAAAAAGGTTACGAAGCAGCAGCATTCTACTGTATCGTGGACTAAAGATGGAGAAAGGGTTTGTTTGTCTCCAAAGCACCTTCGCTGGAGCGACCGTTCGCAGGAGTAGTGGCAGAGGACGGAGGAGTGCTGTTCACAGAACAATGAAGAAGATGATCACGACAAACAGGATGGCCAGAAGAATGCCAATAGCGCACCATTGTCGCCGATCTGCAGGGTCAAATGAGAATATAACAGGCTAAAACACTCATAATTAGGCTAAACAGTGTTTTTAACAGCTACTCTGTATAGCCGTATAGGTTTTATGGTGAAGGCAGAACTAAATGTTTTTAAAACATTCCCACAAACTTCAGAAGTTCAGATTTAATTCTTGGTCTCTCAACCAATTGTTTCCTATGAAAAGGTCCAGAAGTTTGACTTCCAGAGTGCCAACTTTATGAATCATGACAAAGTTTTGGCTTTACATAAAAACAGTCAGCATAATATTTTAACTGTAATAAAACAAAAGTAAATACTGTCAGATAGGATGTCCAATATTAAAATAAGAGGTTTCAGTTGAATGATTGCTGAAAGTATTCTCTGACTGATTCTAACCATGTGTGACTGTAAATGAAGCAGGTTTGCTCTTCCGCTGCTGTATTACTCACCGCTGGTCATGTGAGAAACTTTAGCCAGCTTCTTCATGACGTTATCCAGTCTGGATTGAGTGCTGTCCATCTCATGTGAAAAATCATCCATCATTCTGAAAATAGGCCAGACACACAGTCAGAATCGAAACAGAAAGTTTTGAGGTCTGTTAACTCACCCGCTAGACAAACTGTCAGGATTCACGCCAAAAGCAGGTCAATTTCTCATGTACTACTTTGTGTTCTGGTTTGTAATTGATGAAAAAAAAAAAACTATATTACTAATATATATATATATATATATATAAAAATACATAATTTATACTATTTATATATCCAGTTTTCAAATTATATATAATTTAAAATAGAAATAATAATCTATAAATTATACACATATTTTTCCATTAACAAAAAATTATAAGTTGATAATAATTAAATTAAATTAAATTAAATGACATATAAACATATACATGCACATATATACACACAAAGATTTCCTACCTAACTTCACCAGTTTCAAAGTGACTTACACAGCTTGCTCATCCAGCTCTTGGCCGATCCTTTGGGACATGTTCTTCAAGACACCAATAGTTCCCGATACCAACTCCAGCTGCTCATCCTGCTGTTCTGCTATGAGCTGCAATGTACAGAAATAAAACACACTGTCCTGACAAGTGCTCAGAAATATGGTTCAATATGCTAATCGTGATAATCACCTCTTAAATATAAACTGATGTATTGACATACCTGTTGCTGGGTCTGTTGTTCCTCGATGAACTGTGAGTTTGCCGTCTGCAGCTCCCGGTCTAGTCTGGTGTACTTATCAGCATTGGGTTGCCAGATTGGGCCACGAGACCCACCATCACCCATTAAAGTCTAATATGAGATCAAAAATTATCATGAGATGATACGCAAACTGTCAAATCATAATCTGGCTCCTACTTTCATAGTTTGAGTACAAACCTGTCGATTTTTCCTCTCAGACACTGTAATTGCCTTCGGACTAGCCATGTGGTCTTTCATCTGCTGTAAAATTAAAATCAATTAGAGATATCCGTGTGCCATTGGGGCAGATGTATGTAAGTCTCTCAAATCTGCTCACCCTGACTGTTTGCCTTGTGCTAGTGATGAAGGCTTTCCTCTTGGCCAGCTCCATCGCATCAAGATTGAACTTCTTTGGATTAGCCTCCACAATACTTAAAGACAATGTTAAGGCTACAATATATAAACACCTGAACCATTTCAAGTCCAAACATAGGCTACCAGAAACAAAAGGATATTGATAGTCTCATCCAAGTCCTCCAGGTCCCATTCAATGGACCTCAAACTGTTCCTCAGCTCATTGGTGGTCCAGTCCACCTCCTCCTTGCTGGCTCCACCCGGGTCCTGTAGCAGCTCCATCCATCTCTGATGAAGCCCCTGAGCTGTGTTCACAGCCTTCTGCACCTCTCTAATGAACAGCAATCCATTAAAAGAAATAAAAATGTATAAAGTCAGGAACCCAACAGTATTTGAACAATGACAATGCAAATGTTAGGCTTGAGTCATAAATAAAAACACTATTACAGATAATATCCTGATTTTGGACATGTACCATGGCACAGTGATGGTATCACATGGAAGTACCATAGTACTTTGATTTATACCATGGTATTCATGTAGCACTCCAAGGTATTTCCAAATATACCATGGTACAAATCCAAAAAAAAAAGTACAAATTCCATGTTTTTGGACATGTATCATGGTACAGTGAAGATATCACTGGGAAATAGCATGGTACTATTGTTTTACCATAGTATTTAAATGGCACTCCAAGGTGCTTCCAAGTATTACATATTCTTAAGTATAACATATCAAAGGGCAGGGGTGTATTCCAGAAAGTGAGTTTAGTATTCCAGAGTTTGTTAACCCCAGAAAAGGGAAACTCGTGTTTTCGGTTCCAATAAAAGACAAAACGAAACCTCTCGGTAAGTTACCATAGTAACTTACTCTGTGAACCTAACCTGGTCGGGAGCAGGTTTTCTTCGGTAAACCCAGAGTTTCTTTCGGTCTCCTCCCCCTTTTTAAAGTGTAAGCAATGTTTAAATACCTCATTCATTCATTCACGCTGCAAAAATTGCTTTTATTGCTGAGATTTTTGCCTTATTTCAAGTACAAATATCTAAAAATTCTTAAATCATGATGCATTTTCTATATAAGAAAAAATATATACAATATTTAGTCTTGTTTCCTGGGGTAAACAAGTCAAATTAATTGCCAGCGGGGTAAGAAAAATTATCTTAATGAAAATGGAAACAACATTATTTTTCTCATCGGACCACTTTAATTTTCATCATGCAGACACATGGTAAATGTGACAAAAATGGCATGTCTTTTTATAAGGGATCCTGTAGATGAGGAGGCTGCATTAATTCGCAGGGAGTTACACTTACATCAGGAGAGGATTTAATTTAATTTGATTTAATTTATTTATTTTGCCATATTCACATGCATATTTATTTGAACTGTACCATTTTTAAGATGTTCACTTGATAACATCTTGTTGCGACCTTTAAGTAACCTAATAATTAGAATTTCTTTTAGGATTTCCAGTGTGGTTGGATGCATTGATTACACACATATTCTCACCATCGCACCTTCTGAAAATGAAGCTGATTACTGTATGGAATGAAAGGATGCCAGATGGAAGGGTAGTGTGAGATTCTCTGCCTTCTTGCTGTTGGCTTCTGAATAGAAGTCAAATGTGAATTAATTACCCTAATTAAGAAATGTAGCATGTTGGATTTGAGAACATTTAATTATGTGAAAAAGCATTAGACTATGTGGGAAAAGCTGCTGCACATTGAAATAGATATACACTGAATGATATTTATTGAATGTCAAATATTTGTAAAGTCATGTAACGTTAGCCTACACCCATTTTACGCTTGAAGCTTTACCTGATTGAATTATGTTTTTGTTTTTTTTTGTTTTCTGCTGCCACATTTTTTTTTCGCCTGTGGGATACCATGAAAATTAATATTAGTTCAATAAATTACCTTTCTGCCAGTTTTCACCTCTGATAACATTGATTTAGAATTAAAGTTACGTATTCCGTAGTATGCAGAAGTTTTTTTGTCAGGTGCTGTTGCCATGGTGAATCGTAATTTTGGCGCTC